TTCTTGTGTTGACCTCAGGCTCTGGCTACCATGTCCAGGCCATGGGCTGTGTCTGTGCGGCTCCCCTCTGTGGGACCCACCGACCCTCTGATTCCTGGCTGCTCTGCACAGGTGCCATCTCCAACGTGCTGTGTCCCCGGCAGGCCTGCATCCCGCCCTCAGCGCTGCCTCTCCTCATCTCCCCTCCTTAAACCACTGCTCCACATTTGTAGTACCCACATAGCGTTCGTCGGGGATTGATGTGAGTTATCCTGGTAAGCTTTGGAGTCTGGGTTTGTGTCTTCTGCGTCCTTCCTTTTGCATGCGTCTGTGTGTCAGGGCGTAATAGTCACTTCCCTTGTGCAGTCAGTGCTCGTCAATACTGAGACGTGCGCGTGCCCTTTCTCACCCCTCCCCAGCCTCCCTCATCTCTTAATCCCCTTGTCTCCTATTCCCTATCTTCTGTTTTTTAATTTATGATTTGGGTTTCTCATCTAAGAGAAGCCAGGTGATATTTAAGCTGTGTGTCGGGCTTATTTCACTTAGCATATGGTCAGAGTTGCATCCATTTTCCTACAGATGACTCTAGTGTGTCGTTCTTCGTGGCAGAGTCGTACTCCACGGTGTACAAATGCCACATCTTCTTTATCCATTCATCTGTCGATGGACATCTAGGCTGTTTCCAAGATTTAGCTGTTATGAGTTGTGCTGCTCTGAGCACGGGTCTGCGTGGATCACTATAATTTGATGTCTCTAACTCTGTTGAAGATACTTAGAAGGAATGGGAGTCTCTGAGGACTCTCCACGCTGGCCTCTACAGGGGTTGCACTGGTGTGCGTTCCCACCTACAGCGTGGAAGTTCCCCCTCTGCAGCTTCCGGTCCTGCACCCTTTCTCTCCCTCTAAGGTCCCGTCCATGTGGAACTCACCCTCGGACCCTGCCCAGGAGCCCCTGTCCATTGCTCCTCTTTGTGACGTGCAGAATGGGGCACTTTCCCTGGAGTGTGTTCAAGCTCACTGTGGCTGCTGTGCAGACATCCTGTGCATCCGTGTTCCAGCTGTGTCTGACCCACTTCTTCGGGCAGTTTCTCCAGGTGCTCTCTCTGTCCAGGCCCTGGCCTTCTTCCGGGCTTCAGGTTGCACTGAGTCCAGGACTGGGGAGAAAAGTAGTAAACTGAGTGCAGCTTGGTGGTGCTTTGAACTGGCCTTTACAGCATTCTCAGCTTCCCTGCTGCTCTCTTCACCGGAGCCCAGGGTGTACGGTGACCGTAAGATGCACTGAAGTGGGAGACACATCACCAGGATCCCTCAAGACACTCCCTGCTTCACACCTGCACGATGCCACTGCCACTTCCTGCAGCCACTCTGGAATGCTCTTTCCTGAGGGTCTGCGCAAGTTGTGATCAAAACCACAGTGACTGCTGCTGCCATCCCACAGAAAGGCGGCTTGTAAAATGTGACACTGTCTTTGTCCACCGTATTTACCAGACCTGGCACCCTGGGGCACCGGCTCTTCCCCAAGATCACAATGACCATGAAAAGGAAACATTTTGAAATGATTCAGGACATCGAGGCAGCCAGGACAGTACAGCTGCAGACCCTCAGGAGAGAGGACTCCAGAGCTGCTCCAGGGAGGGACAAGGAAGTAGGATGAGTGTGCTCACGGGGAGCCGGCTTCGTGGCAGTGTGTGTTCCATGTGACACGAGCTTTCGCCCTACTATGTGATCACCTCCAGTGCTTCTCCAGTGGCCTGTGCATGGCTGCTCCGAGGACCCTGGCCAGGCCCCCAGGGCCCGTGTGGGCGAGGCCAGGCAGGGCAAGTTGCTCTTATCCTCGCTGCTGTTCCCTGCACATCCTAAGAGCAGAACAGGATGCCATTCGGACAAGAAAGGAGGAGGTGAGCCATGAAGGGTCATGAAGGACAAACAGTTCTCTAACAAAGCCATGTCAGAGGCTCATACACATGCCAGCGGCATGGCAGGCAGGGAAATGGAAAACTATAGAGCCAGGAAAAAGACCAGTAGGCACCAGGGGCAGGAGGGAGAGCAGGGGCCTCAGGGGCCTGAGGAGAAGGCTGGAGGATCCAGGGCTCTCAGCCTGTCACAGAAGGTGTGCCCGAGGCGAATCACTGGGCCTTTAAAAAGCTGAGCCTGAAGTGTGTGCGTGGGCGGGCTAGGCAGGGCCTGGTAACCTGAGAGTGAGGACAGCTGAGCTGCAGGGTCTGCAGGCCAGCATTTCCCGGACGGCTGGCTGCGTGGGCGCGGAGGTGGGGACACGGCCCGCCCTGGTCACCTGTCAGCCCAGAGCCTTGTCCAGGGGAGCAGCCTCCTCTCGCCTCTCCCTGGAGCCTGTGCACTCCTGCTGGCCTCTGGCTCTTGGGTGAGGGAAGAGGGTGTGGTGCGTGGACCGACTGGAAGGTTCTGCGTCCACCCACATTGGACGAGGCCCGAGTGACCCACATGGGCGCACGCCTCCCACCTGCACCTGCTGCAGCCAAGCCATGCTGGGTCGGGTTTCCCGCTGTGCCGCCAGTGCAGCCCACCTAAATCTACCGCGCCTGGCGGGGCGGCACTGTGTCATTCGACCAGAGTAGGAGCCCAGCTGAGGCCTGGCCCAGCATGGAGCTGTCCCAGGGGCCACTGCACCTCCCTCACCTCGGCCCACCGGCTGTGCTGCAGGGGCCTGGGCACTCACTGACCTGCTGTCCCGCCGAGCTGTCCCACCTGCCAGCCTTGCACCTGCATCCCGCTGCTGCCCGCCGGGTTCTGCAGCAGCCCTGGCAGAGAGGGGTTTGTTCTGTCCTGTAGTGCTGGGACCAAGCCCCGCACCTTCCCACTGAGCCACACCTCCAGCCCCACTGGATTCTTTCACTGGGAAGACAGGGTCTCACAGAGTTGCCCAGGCTGGACTTGAACTGCCATTCTCCTTCCTCAGCCTCCTGATATATTTTTAACTTTTATTGTGCAGTACCGTCATATGTGTAGAAAAGTGACACAATTAAAGAATCCCCAAGGGTTCTGCACACAGCTTTGCTGTCAGCATGCATTTTGTCTGTGCCCCTACCCCGTGTGGTCACACTCAATGTATTCACGGGTGCGGGTGCACACACACACACACACACACGCACACACACACACACATACACACTTCCCTCAGAGCAAGGCTTTCATCCCTAGTGTCACCCTCCTGCCTCCCGCCGTGCCGAACGCCACGGTGTTTGACTGTCCTTGGCACCGCGACATCTGGCTCAGTCCTTAGTATATCCACTAGCTCCTGGCAGGCGGGCCAGCCACCTCCTCACCCTCCTAAATCAATACTTCTCAGATGGGAACTTCCAAGAAGGAAGGGGGAGAGTTTTTCCAAGAAAAGCACATTGAGCAGCTGGGCGTGGTGGCACACACCTGTCATCCCCGCCACTTGGGAGGCTGAGGCAGGAGGATTGCAAGCTCACGCCCAGCCTGGACAGTTTAGCAACTCAGCAAGACTCTCTCAAAAATAAGAAGAGCCAGGGCTGTAGTCCAGTGGGAAGGCCCTGCAGGCAGTTGCAGTACTGGGGGGAGGAAGTAGCCTTAAAATCAAGTCAGAATATTGGTAGCAGAAAATTTTTTCCTAAAAGCATCATAATCCAAGACCGATGTGCTGTCTTGCGTTTTAAATCCTGATGGCTAAGAAAGTCAGCTGGGGCTTGTTTTCTGGATCCAGGCTGTTGTGTGTGGCCAGACGTCCCTGCAGGAATCTCCTTGCCTTGTTAAAGTCTGCACCCCTCGAGGGCAGGCAGCACTGGGCCGCCCCTGCTGGGGCCTCCAGGCCTGTGAGCCTCTGTGGCCTTGTTGCCCCTCCCTGGCCACTCTGAGCTCCCTCCACACATCCGGGGCATGGCCTGCTCCTCCTTTGCGTGTTTTCTAGTGTGTGTCTACAGTGTGCGTGTCCGTTGTGTGTGACCACTGCAGTCCTGTGCCGGTACAAACACACCTGCGTTTTCATCCCATCCCTCCCGCCCTCGTCTCCTGGAACCTTCCTGTCCCTTGCAGAGGCCCTGCCATGTGTGAGCCAAGTTGTGGGATGAAGGGGATGGAGCAGGAGGTGCAGGTGCTGGGGAAGGTGCTGCGTCGGGGAGGGAGTCTGTGTGCAGGGACCTGCTTGGCAGAGGCAGCTGTGACAGTGGTGGCAGGTGACAGAGCAGAGAAGTGACAACACAGGGGACACCTGGGGCAGTCGCCGGATGGAAGTGGTACCCAGGCCACTGCAGGGGAGGAGGCGGCGGCTCTGCGGGGCCCTGGAGATGGGTGTGGGGTGGCTAGTGTCGCCCTGAAATACATACCCACAGCGGGCTCCCTGTGCACTGGCATCCTGAGAGCACAGGAGTTGAACTTGAGGATCAGAGGCTTCTCAGGCAAGTTAACTATTTTCAGATAAGCAAAATTACTTCATCTGCCGGTGAAGCTCAGCGTCATTTTTAGCATCTTGATTTCCAGGCCAGCTGGGTAGTCTCTCCATAAACATGGAGAGGAGCTGTGGGGCCCAGCCGACGGGGCCAGGAGGCTGCAGCCCTGGTGGGTGCTGTGCGGGGAGGTGGGTGATGCCAGCCATCCCTGAGCCTGCAAGGATGTCCTCAGGAATGGGGCATCCTCTCCTGGAACACACAGGTCTCCTCCACTTCCTCCTCCTCTTTCTTCTCTGACTGGGGATTGAACCCAGGGCCTTCACGCTGAACTACAACTCATCTTAATGCTGAGACTGAGTCCCACCTAGTTGCCCAGGCTTGACTCCAACTTTAGCCCTCCTGCTGCAGCCTCCCAGAGTGCTGGATGACAGGCGTGTGCCACTGCTGTGCGCATTCAGGTTTCTCCTTTGGTAGATGGCAGTTTACTGCACTGCCTGGCAGGCTTTTGCAATGATCTGGAGCGTGTACAAAAGCCTACAGGGACACAGTGCCTCGTTTTGGGCACTTGGCAGTTGCTGTGTTAGTTTATTCTCTACATAGGAACACTGAGGGTGTCGGTCGCAAGTGTCCAGCGGTGATGCTGGATGCAGAGGGATATGGAGCCCAGGTGTGGCATGAAGTCCTGCTGCCCCTGCCCCTGCCTGCGGGGCTGTGCAATGCGTCTGAGCTCACCTGGGGTTCTGACGAGACCCCAAAGCCAGCCCTGCTGGTGTCTGGGGATCCGACGTGAATGTGGGGCGCCTGATGCCCCTCTTTCCTGTGTGCACACAGGAATCTGAGTGTCCCTTTCCAGCGTTGCACACGAAGTACTTTCTCTCCTGTATGCCACAGGGGGAAACAGGTGCTCATGCCCAACATGTGCACTGCTGGCTTCAGCCGAGCTGGCGTGGTGGAGCCGACTCCCTGTCCCAAGAGGACCATCGAGCTCCCCAAGTGAGTGGACTCTAAAAAATGTATCTGTATGCCTTGCTGGGTTCCTGGGGGAGGGCTGTGGCCAGAAAGCCAGCTGATATTTGCAAGCTAGGCCTGGTAGAGCATGCCTTTAATCCCAGCATTCCAGGAGGCTGAGGCAGGAAGATCACGAGTTTAAGGCCAGTCTGGACATAGTGAGGCCCTGTCTCAAAAAACAAGCTAGCAAAAAAGTTAGGCATGGTGGTACACACCTATAATCCCAGCACTCTGGGAGGCTGAGGCAGGAGGATTGCACATTCAAGTCCAGCCTGGGCAACTTAGTGGCGTAGGGAGACCCCGGATGAGAATGAAAAAGGGAGTGCAGCTCAGTGTGAAGGCCCTGGCTTCAGTCCAGTGTGCAGGAATGGTTTGCAGGGAGACTGGAGGAAGCATCCTGAGAAGGGAGGACAGAGGTGGATAGGCAACTACTGCACACCCTGCAGAGCCCTCAGAGCCCGCAGTACAGGACAGGGCCCAGCACGCACATACTGCTGGGGTGAGGCAGCAAGCGTGTCCAGTGTGACCTGTGGGCCAGCTCCGCCCCACCCCGCAGCACAGTAGCTGCAGTCCCAGGTTTCAGCTCAGCTCAGTTTGGACGTACTGGGGATTAGGACTTCTGGGAGGCAGGTGTCCTGAGGGGCGACTCTTCTCTGTCCCTGGCTGTGACAGATGTGTAGAAATGCCTGGTACTGCAGCAGCACGGCGGTGGAGGCCACAGCCCCTCAGAGCGCCCGCCCGCCAGAGAGTGCTCTTTTGTTTGGAGTTTTGAGTCTCCCTGTGTACCCACACTGGCCTCCAACTTGAGACAGCCCTCCTGCCTCAGCCTCATGAGTGCTGCGCTGGGATCACAGGCATGTAGTGCTATGCCGGCCGAGAGTGAGTTCTTGCACCAGAGAAGTCCAGTCCCATCTGCTGTTGGGGCCTGGCAGGGGGATGTGTGTTCCCTGGTTTGCCCGTCCTTACTCTGACTGTTGAGTGTAGCGGTGTGGGCCAGCAGGTGGCAGGGCTGAGCGGTCTTGCCCACATGGTGACTGCCAGCTCCTGCGCCTTCTCCTCACCTCTCGGCAGCCTCCTCCCATGCTCCTGTGCTTGGACGGCCTTAGAGCCCTGTAGCAGTAGAATCTCAGCATTCACTCTTCTGAGACTGGCCTGTTTCACTGGGCTTAGTGCTCTTCAGCTTCCTTTATCACATTTGTACACATTCCCTTTTGAAGGCTGAGTGGTATTCCACCATTTGAACCACATGTTGATCCATGCATCCCTTGTGCCCAGGCCATGCCTATTGTAGACAACACAGCAGCCAAACTGAGTGCAAATACTTCTTTGAAATCCTGATTTCGCTTCCTTTGAGTAAATATCTGAAGGTGAGATTTCTTTCTCACTCTATTCTGAGGAAGCTCCATGCTATTTCCCAGTCCCTCCAACAGCACCAGGCCCTCTTGCCTCTCATGCCCTCCCCAGTGCCATCTTTGTCTTTTTGCTGACAGCAGGCAGGCAGGTAGGCTGTGGTGTCCCTGTCATCACATTGGTCTTTGTCTCCCTGATGATCAGTGGCAGGGGACATCTGTCCGTGCCACTGTCCTCCTGTCCTCCTGGGAAGGTGTCTTGTCACTTCCTGTCAGTACCTGGCCCGGAGCATCACTGGAAGCAGGTGGAGTTCATTAAGGTGGCATGGGGAATGTCCCCCACTTTCTCAGTGCCTGCTTCCTGCTAACTGTAGATATTCAGAATCCCTGCCTGCCCTGGAGAAGCCACCTTTGGATGGAGCAGCACCAAAGCCCTCGAGTAGCACTTGGACCCCGACAAACCTTGGCTGTATTGCCTCGGGCTGGGCTTGGTTCCTGCTGAGGAGGAAGCTGGCTGGTCCACCCCTCAGCTGACCCCCGTGCCCCTGTGGGCGGAGTGAGTCCTCAGAGGCCCACAGTTGCGTGTGCTGGGAGCACAGACGAATCAGAGGCTTCGCCAGCCGGGGCTCTCTAAGGGGAACCCATGAGACATGCCCGGCCCTGGGGAATCCCTGAGTAGGCCGCCTTGGGATCTGCTGGGAAAGGCCCTTGTGCCTCTCAGCCCCTCTGCGTGGCCCCAGCTTCTGCACCCCTCCTCTCCATCTGCACCCGTTCTCCGGAAGCACCCGCAGCTCAATGGGACTCGACAGCGGGTGTTCACGCACTAGTGTGCGGTCCCTTGTCTCCAGGGCACCTTCGTTCTTGCACAAGCACGTGGCCAACGTGGGAGTGAGCCAGAAGCCGTCTGTGTGCCAGATCCATGCAGGTTCCCTGGCTCGGCTCCCAGGCGGCTCTGGTGAACAGTGCCAGGCACAGGAGGGCACAGGGCGGGCAGGCTGCTGGCGAGGACCAAGGTTGTGGTGTAACCTGGCTTTGGGGCCCTTTCCAATGGGGCTGTGCTCCCCACTCCCGCTGCAGCCTGGTGGAGTGTGCCCAAGCAGGCCCAAGGCTGCCATCTGGGTGACAGCACAGCTACCTTATCGCCCTCACCTGCTTCAGGGAAACGCGGCCCTTGAGGGTGCTCTCCTGTGTCTGTGCCCCCACCCCCCACCGCCCTTCCTTCCTTCTAGCACAGGGGTTTGGAGCCACAGATCTTTCCTTTTTTTTTTTTTTTTTTTTTTTTTTTTTTTTTTTTTTTGT